GGTGGGAGGGAGGCAGGCAGGCTCCAGCCCCAGCATCCGGTACCTGACAAAGATCTCTGGGCGGGTGGTGCGTGGTGGCGAGGAGCTCTCTCTGCGTCGTCTCCTCTGAGCGGGGGAAAGGGAAGAGCCGCCACCGCTGCGTGCCATGTGGAGGAGAAGGTCCCTGGGTGCCTGGGCACTCCTCGCCAGCCTGGCCGTGGCCAGCTGGGGTGTCCGAGGTGAGTCCTTGGGTGTCAGTTGAGCACTGGACGACTCTTCCGCTGGGTAGCCTGCTTTTTTGAAGAGTGTTTTTGTTTGCAGTGTCTACTTCGCTGCTCAGAGGGCTGTCTAACATAATACTCTCTACAATAGTTATGCCTATGAACGAACTCTTCATCACTGTGAGGGTTGAGAACTCGGCTGTGAAGCTCTCTGCTCTCTTTTTTTTGTTTTTTTGTTTTTTTTTTTACAGGACAGACCGTAATTGTGAAGGAAGTCAATGGGAAGGTGTTTCTGAAATGCAAAACAGACAGCCAAAATCAGATCATATGGCGGAAAGATGGGAATTGGATAGACAACACCACGGAGTTGGACTTGGGCGCAATTTATGATGATCCCAGAGGCATCTACACATGTGAAACAGAAGGTGTAAAGGCAAGCACCCCCCTTCAGCTGCACTATCGAAGTAAGTGTTGCAAACTGGGTTTTTAGAGCCAGAACTGCTTGGAGTTTTCCCCCAAACAAATATCTGAGGGAACTGCTGATTCCTCAGAGTTTGAGGGTGGTTCTGCCAGTTTGTGGAAGTCCTGACAGCTCCTGTGCTAGGTCGGTAGCAGCCAAGCTGCGTGTTCTCCTGCGTATAGTGTCCCTGGAAGAGCTCTACAGCCTCGTTTAGTGCTGTAACTCATATTGCCTCATTGCTAGCTGCTCGCTGGCCCTGCTGTGGCCTGCCCTGAGTGCTGGGGACACATGGCAGCTTATGCCACTGCCTGGGGTCACACAGCAAGCCAAACTTAATCTCTGATCTCCCTTGCTTTGGAACTGGAGCCTGTTGGACTGTCAGAGCTGGCTGAGCGCTTTGGAGGTGGCCAAGGGGCAAGGTCCTGGTTGTGGCCCTGCTTTCAGCGTCTGTGTCCTTCTTGGCTTCCAGTGTGCCAGAACTGCATCGAAGTGGACGCCCCCACCATCTCGGGGATCGTGATCGCAGATGTTGTCGCCACCGTCTTATTGGCAGTCGCTGTGTATTGCATCACTGGCCACGACAAGGGACGCATGTCACGAGGTAAGAGGAGAGCCCTGCTGGCTGCCCGCGGGTGGGGACGGGAAGTGCCCGGGCATCTGTGTGGTAGCCAGGGGCTTTCCATCACTGCCTGCAGAGCCCAGTCACTGCAGCGTGCACACAGCGTGTCTGGGGTAGGGAGCCATGTGGGCTTTCTGTGTACCCTTCCTGCCCCAGGCAAAGCTATCGAATGCACAAAGTTCACCAAAATATCACCCCAGGGACAGCAGCTGGTGGCACAGGAACACCTGAGGCTTTGCAGGGGCCTTCCACTTACACTTTCCAGAGGCAGTAACAGCACAGGGCTGAAAGCAGCCGGCTGCTTGTGTTTGCTTGCAAATGTTCACCGCGCTGCCCGTGACTTTCTGATCCTTGACCATCTTCTTCCTTTCTTTAGCTTCTGACAGGCAGAACCTGATTGCCAACGAGCAGGTCTATCAGGTGAGTGTGGGTGCACACGTGCTTGGGCTTCAGCCCCTCTGCGTGTTGTGGGGCTGCGTGGCCATGGCAGCACAGCTGCTGGGGGATACTCGATGTCTCAAGGCACTGAGCTGTGCTGGAGACTGCTCTTTGCTGGGGCATTCACAGATGCTTCCCCCTGGGTGACCCAGAGGAGGGAGCAAGCTCAGCTATCTCCTCTGGAGCTGTTAAGCTCTGTGCGCAGGGAAGAAAAGCTTGGCATAAAGGAGGGCTGGGCCAGCTTCCCCTGTACCCTCTTTCCCAGGGCTGGACAGACACAGTGGTAGCTCGTCTCGCCTTTTTTTCCTCCTAGCCCCTTGGCGAGCGGGACGATGGACAGTACAGCCGGCTGACAACTGCCAAGGCCCGCAAGTGAAGCGGGAAGATGCCGAGGCCCGTGGGTCCTTCACACTGGGAGCAATACTGCAGCAGAGCTGCCGCTATTGCATGTGTAAGCTTGGTGCTGGCAGAAGACAGGGCGGGTTTTTGCCTAGAGAGCCCTCCGGCCCCTTGCCAGAGTGGGCAGCTTGTAGCACTCTGCTCTTTCCACGGCCTCTTGGTCTTCTGTATCCCTCTCATTAAAGATGAGCCTGTACCATGGTGTCCCTGCTCCGCTGGTTTTGTTGAGGCTTGGGGATCCGTGCTTTCTCTGGGGAGACTGCCAGGGCAGAGAGGTGCCCGTCGCTGTGCCACATCTCTGTGCCAGGATCCAAAGGACGTCTGGGTCCATTGCTGAAGCTGGGGATGGTGGACGTTGTGAAGGGTGAGGGTTACCACCCCTTCCTGCACCCCTGATCTTTTTGGGAGGCTCCCCTGCCCTCTGCTGTCTCTGCAGCCCAGCAGAGACTGACTCACCCTTTGTGACCAGGCCAGAGATCTTTTGTGGGGCGTTTGGCAACCCCTCTTTCAGGCTTGGGAGCCATCCCACTGTGCTGAGTACAGGATGGAGTCGAGCAAACCTTCAGAGCCTTTCCCATCTCAACTACCCTTCCAGACACTGAGTGGCACTGGGTCTCCCCACAATATCCCAGCTCCCCTAGGCAGAGCAGAAGCCACAAATGTGCTCTGACTGTGGCCAAAACGGGGGGCAGATAACAGACAGGGCCTGCTAGAAACCTCAGAAACCAGGTCACCCTCCATGTGCCAGTTGCACACACCTGGAGGTTGTGTTTTCCTGCTTTTCTAAGAATCTGGGTGACGGATGTTAGAGAGCACCAGGCTGTGAATTGACTTGTGACTCGGTGGTATGAAGTAAGTACCAAAAGAGTTAATACTCAGTAAAAATGGGTCACAAGTCTGTGACACGTCTGACCCGGCCAGCAACACACAGGCTGTGCAGAGCTGTGGGTGCACCCCATGTGCCGTGACGGGAATCGGAGTGTGATCAGCCTTGCAGTCAGTGAACAAGAAAAGACCTGTTTTCCGACGGTGTTGGCTCCTTACGCAACACTTTGCTCTTCACAGGAGCAGAATAATGTCTTGGTGGCTCTTCTGCTCTAACCTGTTCCCGTGGGCCATTCAGGTAGAATATGTCAATGCCTGCTTTTGGTCTGCAAAGACACCTGGATGGAACTTCATAAAAAAGGTGATCAGCCTGCCTAGTTCGTAACGGTTTGATCACCATCAGCTCTCAAAGCAATGAGAAACGGTGGCTAATCTCACCCAAAGAGCAGCAGGAACCTGCAGCAGAGTGGGTGCGTGTGCTCTGCACAAATCAAAGAGCCAGCAGCGGCAGTGTTTGTAACTTGCCTATTTGAGAGAGGCTCCTCAGCACCCCACCCCTGGCAGGACAAGGAAACATTTCTGTCGTGCAGCTAAGCACAAAGATGTTGTGACTGGATGTGTGCTGATCCTGCTGAGATAAGGGGAGTGTGGGCTGGGGCGCCGGCTGGGGCAAACATGCAGTGCCATAAACCATGGCAGAAGCACCAGGGCTGAAGCGAATTTTAGACCTTGTACACTTGTGGTCCGAGTTTCTCACATCTCATTCATGGCAATGGGCTGCATGGCTGGGCTGAGCAAGCACCCCTGGAGCAGCGATGTTTTGGCTCAGAGTGATTTTAGAGCTGCCGGAGGTTAGTGCTCTCTATCTGATAATAGATCTCTCCCTTTTAGGCGTTTAGTGCCTTGTATGGTAACCCCAGCTGCGCTGCCTGTAAAACCACATCCTGCAGGCCAAGCACAGCGATCCGAAGCACAAAACTTGCTGGGTGTTCCTCTCCCCATGCTGAAATTCAAGGGTTGAACCGCCCCCAGCCCTCTCACTGCTGCTGTTTCCTTTCTTCGGAGCTGGTGCTCTGCAGAGCAACAGAACCGGGGCTGCTCAGCCGGTGTTAGAGCAGCAGCGTTCCCAGGCGTCATGGAATCTCCTGGGCACTTCTCTCTAAGTGACGACTTGTCCTGTGGGAAGCCGCAGCTTCTCAAAGCAGGCAGATTTAAAACCTGCGTGTTGAGGGCGTAGGGTCTCAGTATTTGACGTGCCCCCAGGCCCACTGCCCAGCCCCTGTTGACCCGTGTCCTGCTCTCAGGCCCCGCTCTCCTGGGCATGGCAGTGCATTTTTGTACGTGCAGGTGTCCTCTTTTTGACCAAAATGTTTTCATTCAAGGCAGTGGCTTTTCTATGCAAATGTACCATCTGGTGTTTAGTATATTGACTGTTTCTTCTGTCACGATCCTGGGCAGCAAAACTAAGATAGGCTCTGAGCATGAGAGCAGGACAAGGTTGGAGGCCGGTTGCTCTCAGAAGGAGCCACTCCTTGCCACTGGAACCATGAGGAGCAAGCGGAGACCCTCGGGGTGGAAATTAAATGGGAGGGAAAACCAGAGCATGCAACTGGGGCAGAGAGAGGTGTGAGGGAAAAGGAGGCCAGGAACCACGAGTGAGGCTGCAGTCCTTTAATGAGAAGGAAAAGGTCTCTTGCCAATGTGCGCACTTGTTTCTTTTCCCCAATGCCAAGCTGGAGGAAGGCATCAGGGCAGGACAGCGGATGGCAGCTGGGCGCCTGTCCTGTGTAGCTTACCCCAAAACGCCTGGGCCTCAGCCGTGCAGAGAACCGGTACCGAGCGGGGCAGAAGCGCTTAGCCCCTCTGCTGCGGTTTTCCAGGCTGTCATCTGTGGCAATTTCAGAAGCCCCTGGGCTCCAGGCCTGCATACACTTCCCGCTGGCCTTTCCGGATGGGCTGGGGAACAGCAGAGGTGTTAGTTCAGGACTCCTCAAACACATCCTCATACAGCTGCAGTTCTGCTCCCTGCTCCCTGTGTCTGCACCAGAGAAGGCTCCACCCTCACCACCTTTTCCCTCCACTCCTGGGAAAGCACAGGGGTTAACTGGATGCTTCTTCAAGGAGCAGAAAGGATAACTGCTACGGATCCCCAGTTCTGCCCATTCCTGCCCAGCCAGCAGGGAGAGATGTTAAAAATGCAGGTTCTCCATACCTCATAGTCTGGGTTTGGAACCGGGGGAGGACGCTGCATCTTCTGACCTGCAACAGAGGCAAGGAGAGGTCGTCCTTGGTGATGATTCATATAACACAGCACGAGGGACTTTCACGGAGATGATCCCAGCGTAACGCATACCATGGCTCAACTCGCATGGCTTTCTTATGAGGTTAGATCTTAGAGACCCAACTGCTGCAGCTGCACCCATCCCACACAAGGCGGCCCAGGGCAACAGACGTGGCAAGCAGGAGCACTGGAGATCCCAGAGGCTTTGAGGGGAACAGAGGATGCTCCAGCACTCAGCAAGGGCAAGTGCTTAATTCAGTGCTTAGCGGACATCACGGGGAGCAGAGACGACTGAAATGGCTCTTACCTCGTGGCCGACTGCCGGGGCCAGCGCTTCCCTTCCCCTTCTTGTCTTTGCTGAAGTAATAGACCAGAATGAGCACCCCGAAGGTGATGAGCAGATCCGCAGCGATGATCCCTGTCACTGCCAGGGTATCCAGCTCCTCGCAGTTTGCGCACACTGCCGGGGGAGAGGTGGAGGTGCTCAGAGAAGACAGCCTTCCCTTCCAGCAAGGACAGAGGTAAGATACAGTTCTGGGTGCGGAGGAGAAAGGAGCAGGCAGAAAGGAAGGGGGAGAGCGGAGGCCATCGTCTGCCCCACCATTTCGGTCTGCAAACAGCAGCAGTCCAGGGGCTGGTGTGTGCAGCCTCCTCCGCTACCCTCTGTGGTTTGCACGGCCTGAGCTGGAGGATGCAAAACATTTCCTAGACCTTTGCCCCGCTCTGCCTATGCTGGACTCTAAGTCCTGAATGCAGCCCAGCTGCCCACATTTCAGATGGCTCAGAGGTTTAGATCACGCTGTTAGGGTGGAGGTAAATCCCCCGGTTGATGGGTCACAGGCACCAGGCCGTGTGCTCCGGATGGGAGTTTTCCACTCCGCAAGGTAAGAAGTGCCTCTGTTTGTTGTGGCTGACATCAGTCTTACCCTGTGGCATGGCAGAAGCTGTATAAAGAGAGACTGTGCGCTGTATATGTGGGAACCACTGACATGCAGCCAGCTTGAGGACAGCGGCAGGGAAAGGCATAGAGAGCGGGGAGAGTCCTTTGGCCAAAACCGTGCTCTTGGGCTTTGACTGCCCACGCAGAGCAGGAAGGGCCCCAGCAGAATCGTGTTCACCCAGCCAGCAGCACTGGAAATTGGGTCTGGCCTCCTAATACCCGTCACTGAAATGTGTAGGCTTTGTCTTTAGCCCATAGATGGGCTGCTTTTCCCCTCACCTCTGGCGTTCAGGTACATTGAATGCTTCTTTCCACTGCCCGAACAGCTCAGGTTGACGGGAGTGCTGTCATGGTTCTCTATAACGTACTTCCTCTCGTCGTTGGTTGGCTTTGCCGCAGTTGACTCCCAGACGATGCTGCCTTCGGGCAAGGGACACGTGATTGTCACCGTGGTCCCGGAGATCTCCACCAGGAAAGCTTCATTGGGAGGCAGGCAGCGAGAAGGGAAACCAGAGTCACAGACTGCGTGTGGGCAGGCTTCCCTCCCACCCTGATCCCACCGTGCAACAGCTTTGGTTTCGTGGTGTAACGTGAGCTCCCTGGGCACGCATCTTCTGCGTGCAAGTTTTCCTTTACTTTTTACACCGATTCTTTTGCTACTGAGCAAGATCAAGATGCCATCACAGAGTGTTCAGTGGCCACGTCCTGCTTAGCCACGTGCTTGTTGCTCTCTGCAAAGGGACAGCTCTGCTTGGAGGCCACCAGCACTGAGCAGGGGCACCTCATTACACCTGATTGTCCCAATCAGAGATGACAGCAACTAACGAACAGGACATTTTTTCCCCCTAAATTACTGCTTAAAGTCAAATATTTCTATCTGCTTTTTTCAGTCCTCACCCGTGAGGCATCAGCAGTCTTCATGTCATGCTAAATAGTTAAGAATGCTGGTAAAATGCACTTACCCTCTGGTACTTCAATATCCTCTGCAAAGGAGAGAACAGTGAGTGTTAACAAATTATCCTGCTATTACCTTATTGCTGTTGGCAAATGCCCAGCTGTTTGGGGATCATTAGCAATAATTAAGAACAATTCGTGACAGCCAATTTTTCAAACTAATGAGATCAGTAACGATTAAGGAACAGGGAATTTTTCCCTTCCTACAATATTTGAAAAATTCAAATACTTCCATTTGACTTCTAGTCCTCACTTGTGAGGCAGAGTTGGTCTTTTTATCATACTGAATAGTTAAGAATGCTGGTAAAACGCACTCACCCTGCGGAGCTGCGGTGCCAACTACAAAAGAAAGAACAAAAAGCATTAAGTAATGTAGCTCCTGATATCATACACCTTTCCTGCTTCAAGGGTGTCCTGTCTGAACTCAGCCTCTTGAAAGAGATGTTTCTGCTCCCTTATTTGTGCTGAAGACACGAGAGGCGTTCTGTTAGCGGAGACAGGATGTTGTTCTGAAGCGAAGGCTTTTCCTTTGGAGGCCATTTTTAACACAGACTCACGCAGAAGGGAAATCTGAATAATTTTCTGTCCCACTCAGAAAAAGGGTTACAATTTTGCTTTGTTATCATGGACCAAAGGCTGCTGGAAAATCATGCCTGGTTCCCGTGGTGAGAGCCACTGTCCTCTGCAAGAGCGTACTCAGTGGAGGCTGGACCCTGCCGCCTGATTTAGAGCTGTAAAGCGGTTTAGCTATGTGATTTTTCTCTCTTTGTAGAAAACAAGTAGTTCCATTCAAGTGTCCACAGCTGGACTATTATAGAAACAGTTTTTAGGAGGTGTGAATCAGATCTGTGATGTGTTTTAAGGACATTTGTCAATGTAAAGTAACATAAGTAAGTAGAGGAATGACCTGTATTCATGTGTTCAGCGCTGTTGTCCCATCCCGGGACTATTGCTTTTACAATAGGAGTTACTTGTAACAAAAGTGTAGATCTGAAATTCCACAGGCATAGGGCTTGGCTGGAGAGAAGGTGATGTGGTGCTTTTTTTCTTTACATAAGATGGATCTAAGTTTGAAAAAAGCAGAGGCTGTTGCTAAACCAAATGTCTTCAGCCTTAAAGAATAGCAGTTGGCATTTGCAGCTCATTGGCAGAGCAGCTTTAGTTTTATTGTGGCATCTTTTAATTACCTTTCAATCTTATCTCTCATAGTTACCAGCTTCTTTACAGATACTTTGCATTTCATCCTAAACCAGCTTTCTAAAGGCTGGTAACATAGAAATAGCTACCACTCCTATGGTATCACAGCGAATCTGAACTGCAGTTACTTCGGTTTAGGATAAGTGCGTGAACAAAGCGTAGAAATAAAATCAAACCCACAGAACATTATGGCTGCAGAAAGCACTGTGGAATACGGCTGCAGGCACCGTGCAAAACGAGCCACACGTCCCTGTGCTTTCTCCCGGTGCCCGTGTGCCGCTGGCCGGCCCTACTCACCCATTTGCAGCAGCAGGAGTCCCAGGAGAGGCACGGCCCACGCCGTCCTCATCCTTGTGGCGTTCCTCCTCTTGCCCTCCTCTACCGCATCAGACTGGCGTCACCCAGGCTGCAGGGGAGGAAGAGCACGTTGGCTTTTCGGGCGCTTGCTTACAAGAAAGAGGCCCAAGATGTTTTTTCCCAGAATTGCGTACGGTAACGTACCGGGCCGAGCGGTGCTGCAGACACTCACCGTTTCCAGCGAAACCTGCGAGCAGCCAAGAAGACCCGGGACGCGGGTGATAAAATGAGCCCATGTCAGGAAGTGCGGAGGCTCAAAACGTCTTGACGGAACGTCATTGACGGCAAGGGGTGGCCGCTCTGCACCGGCCCTGGGCAGGGCCGGGGGACCTGTTGTGTCTGCCCGGCGAGCGGCAGGAGAGACAAATGAGCCTGGGCTGGATTTGCCATCGGGACCTTCCTAACATCTCTTTGAAGTGAGTGTTTCTCAACTTCAAACTACTGCGAAAAGCCTAACACAGGAGGGAATGAGCCAAAGAACCAGAAATGCCTTGAGAAGCTCAGCGCCTAGAGACACTGTACAGCCAGCAGAAATGAGCCTGTAAGTGCCCGGCTGTAAACCCGGGGGTTTTAGTCACTGATGGTGCAATCTGGACTCTGCTTTTGTTAGTTTGCTCTACCACACCCCATTTCACAGAATCACAGAATCACAG